TGGTGTACCTAATAAAGTGGCCGGTGAGTGTATATATATTTAAAAACAGTAAAATTTAAATTATGTAGTAATTTATTAGAACTAAGCTGGAAAAGTAAATATGAAGGTCAAATCTTAAAACACAAGATAAATTCTCCTTTTGTAATTTAATTAGTGCTTTTTAAGTGCATTTGTTTATTTATTGGTCCATTTTTCTGTTTCTGCTTTTATTTCTAATTATGTCAGATTCAGTCCTCCATACATCGTTACATCACCACACCAGATATCTGAATAAGTTCCACATAAATGGAAAGATAGTTTTTGAATTTAAAAAATAAATTTATTTTTGCTGAAAATGTTTAATAAAATAACAACTAATCAGATTATTACATTCTATAAGACAGTGTTTTTCAACCCTGGTCCTCAAGGCACACTGCCCTTCATGTTTTACATGTTTTCCTGCTTCAAAACAGCTGATTATAATTGATAACTGATTGCAATCATTTTAATTATGTGTTAAAGCAGTGACACTTCTATTCAGTGCAGTGAGCCTTGAGGACCAGGGTTGAAAAACACTGCTATTATTATGAAGACATTTTAGATTTTAACCTTTTAGTTCCTTAATATTTAAATATTTTTATTAAGTTCCYTTCTGTTTGAAATCACATGTAAAATTTGTGATTTTTTTATTCAAACCATTTAGTTTTGTTAATTGGTCATTGAGTATTCTTACAAACATTTGACACTCTTTATAGGAGGCAATTTTTAGTTCCATTAAACAATCAGGTAGTTGACATCAGTTTAATTTCAAGTGTTTTAAAGATTCAGGTTGTATTTATAGAAGTTGTGGAAATATAAGCAGCAGAAATTATTATAGTTAAATTATTGAACTGAGAAGTGTTGGGATGCTGTATATTTAAATTTATACTCACATTTTGAGTTCTTAAAATGTAACTAATGTATCAGGTCTGTTTTTGTTTTTTGTAGAATCCTGGATTTGACTTCAGTGGTGCAGAAATATCTGGGAATTTTGCTGGTGGAGGTCCAGATTTTTCTAATTTACAAAAGTGACTTTTTGGTATAATCTGAAAATCTGATCCACTGAGGTCTTAAGCAACCAGAACTACAAGGACGTAGATTTTCTCTGGATTATCTGAGCCTRAAAGGACTTTATTTTTAAAGCCTTGTTTGGTGAGTTTGAAGCCTCATTATTCCACAGAAAGAAGATCTGTTCTTAAGTTGTGGAGATGTTTTGCCTTTTATTATATATAAAAAACAACAATTATAGCTTTTCAATAAAGTTTTATTGAAAGGTGCAAGTACATTCACGTATCTGTGTTTGARGGTTGTAAAGCCAAGAACATGTTTCATCTCTAGTGAAACTAACTACACGGGGAAACTGGAAAAGAAAAATGGCGGACAAATTCCAACCCACATTTCCACGGCAGCTGCAACTTTTATTAAACTAAAACCAGTTCAAGCKTGTAGCAGGTCAACCAGATAAAACCTCAGTCGCTGCTGATTTCAGCTCTAATAATGATGTTTTAGCTACAGGTGACAGATTTGTCACTAGTTTCACTTCACTGGCTCAAACCAGAAATCCCTCGCCGCATCAAAAGAAAAACAAAAAATCACCTTGGGTAGGAGTGTGCTTTCAGGACAGTTTAGCAACCTAGGGTGGGAGTTAAGGATCTTGGGCCCGATTTCTTGGTTCCATTTTTGCTATTCACAAAATCCTTCTCCCTCCTCTTCCACATGGTGGACTGAGGACCTAGGTGGTTCAATACATTAATAGCTTAAAACTAAACCCATACCAGGAAATGGTACAAATTTAAACGAGAACATACTGTACACCTGTGCAAGTAGAAGTATTACTCCTTGTTAGTGGGACAGTGTTTGACCAATCTAAAGCTAACTTGATATAAAAGCTCTTCCTTAAAGAAATCCATCATCACTGATGGAGATCTGTAAGGAAAATTAGGAAATARAAACGGGTGACCACACTGCTAAATTACGACGTCACGTTGAGAACAGGTGGAATTTCTGTGCAGGTTAAAAAAAAAATCACCCATTTATACGCTCCAGCTTTAAGAAGATGACTCAGGAATGGTGGGGAGGTGAGCGATCTTGTAGTAGCTGTGCTTCAGCTGACGAGCAGTTCTTCCTGAAATGGTCCAGCGAAGCCTCTGGCCGTTGGGTCTGGAGCACTTGGTGGTGGCGTATTCGGCCAGGCATTTCCCCACTAACTCCCTCACACACACCAGGTCACCATCTTTTACCTACGCAAGGCAGAAACATTCAAATGAAGCAACCCACTGTGCTGTTTACATTATTATTATTATTATTAAACGTACATTCAGCAGCTGCTGGAGGTTTCTCAGGGCCTCGGATGTTTGGTTTGCGTCCTCAGGGTCGTGTTGTTCCTGGGCCTCYAAGCACAGCAGAGCAATGGCAAGAAGAGAGGGCTGAAGAGGAAAAGACGCAATACTTTTTAAAAAAGAGCAAGTCCATTCACAGTTTGAACATGTAATTTACAAAGTGAAGCAAACTTTGCATTTTGTTAACTCAAAGCTTTGCCTACATTTGAATACAGAAGCAGACTTTCCAGAACATTAACCATAATGGTGTGCACACTGGTGGGAGATGTTCCTTTACTTTTTTTGCTGACCTGTTTTCTTCTTTATATCTTTTCTCATAAGAAATGGACAGAAGCTTCTCTTTTTACAACTTTCTGAGTGCTTTTGATTTGGGTTTAAAAAAAAAAAAAGAAAAATAAACTAGTATAATAACACTAATCCAGAGCAGAAATGACTTTAGTCAGGTGTTGACGTTTTCCCTACAGATCTACAGCCATGAAAAARAACAGAAAAGTGTTTTTATTTACCTTGATTTTGGAGAAGACAAACGAGCAGTGACATGCTTTCAGCTGCGCCTCCAGTCTGTCAAGGCTCAGAATATTCCTGCTGTAAATAATAAATAAAATACCTTTAATGAAAAGATTATATTGGTACCTCGTATCAGTCAACTTGTGAAAGCAAACGYATGTTTACAAGGAGGTAAAATATAAAAAAAGATAATCACCTCATTAATGCACTTAAACACAATTTTATTTATCCCTAAAAATGTAAATAAAAGCAGACATTTATACCAGCGTGATTTTGCTGAGTCGCGGTTAACCGTTACCTCTCAGCATCGAGCTGCTCCTGGACGTGACCGTGAAACAGGCGYAGGAAGTGCAGAGCCGTGGGGGCCTTCACCTTCCAGTGGAGCTTCTCCATGATGATCTTTTCCATCCTGATCATGTCGGACACTGTGAAGCGGTTCTGACTGATGCGGATCAGGTCGTTGGCCAGCGGCACGTTCTTCTCCTCCTCCGAGGCTTTCACAGCGATGTAGAAGCAGCACAAGCCGACGCAGGACAGGTGCTTGGGCTGAATCTGTTGGGAACCAAGAGGGCGGAGTCACGAGTACAGATAATACACAAACAAAGAACGCTTTTAGGGACTTTACATGGCACGTTTTACTAGGGGTGTAAGAAAATATCGATACACTGAAATATCGCGAAATTTCATTTCCCGATACTGTATCGATATTCTAAAGCCCTGTATCGATTTTTAATTAAGGTTTAAAATGTCAAGCTTCTTGCCAACCGTTCATTTTTATGTTGTAGTTCAGCCTCTGACCACTAGTTGGCAGCAGTGAGCCAGCCATTTGGCTTCTCTACCTCTTGAGCACCAGAGAGTAAGGGTAGCATTAGCATTGTAAGTAAACATTAGCTTTTCTTTTTTTTTTTTCAGAAAGAGGTTTTTATTTAATAGAATTTTTGGACAAAAAAAATCGCAGTATATCACAATATACTGCCTTGCTTACAGTATCGCAATATATCGGGATATATCGTATCGTGACCCCTCTGTTATGAAATGTATCGTATCGCCAAATTCTTGCCAATACACAGCCCTACGTTTTACAAACCTTCATCACAGAGAGGAAGCGATCCAGCAAGCTGACGGCAAGCGAGAAGGTCTCRGAGCAGAAACCGAAGAACCTGGAGAGGGAGAGCAGGTCCTTCACCTCCAGTTCTCTCAGYCGGGRGGTCATCCTGAGGCCGTTGTCCTGGGCACTGTCAATAAGTCTCAGCCCACTGAGCTTTGGCTGGTATCTGCCTTCCAGGTCCATCAGGGTCTTCAGCTGGACTGGAAAGGGCTGCGTTACACGTGTTACTGTATCAAGCATCTGGATAAGGAAAAAAAAACTGAAGTTAGAGACAGAACCACACTTCTTAATGATCAGAGCAATTATTAGTGAGGACAGTGCTTCTATATTTGCAGGTCCAACAAGTTTCCTATGATCAGCTGTCACTGAACATGGCTGAAACAACTCATAAGACTCCTATGCATAATTTAAAGTAATCCTCTAAGTATATTTTAAATATCTACATTGTTTTAATGACATGTTGGTAGTTTTCGCCGGAGCTGAAGGCAGCGGGCCTTGTCGGGGCAGCTCCTGCGTCATGTCTGGACATGTTCCTGCCGCACACACTGATGGAGGCTCGACGATGACAACAAACTGAGGCAACACAGTCCAAACTACATAAAGTCAGGTTAAAATCACGTTACATGTCGCTGACCGCKTTTTCGTGGTTGTTACGACACATTTATTGAAAGTTTAAGATGAATTAGAAATCATACGTCAACAACTGAGTTAGCTGCTATTCGGCTAAAGCTAGCTAAAAATCAATTCAAGTTTAGTGTTGTTTGACAGTCAGCTTCACTGTCACACAATTTAACTTTTAGACCGTAAAATATCAAACACAGTTATATTTCGTAATACAAAAATAAACTTGATTACGTACCTTGAGTAGTTTTGCTGCTTTAATGTTTTTAAAAAGAATAGCTTGCAAAAAAAAAAAATCAACTAGCGCTTTCGAAAGGTGAGTGTAAAGCGGTATTAAACACAAAAAGTGAAAGTATGAACTTTACGCAAAATAAAATTTTAAGCATAGGTTGATTTCTGCCTATGCACACCCCCCTACCCTTGGCAAAAGGCGACGGGGAAAAGGACAGTTTGTGTAAATAAGGAGGAATAAAATGAAGCCATGCCCGAACATGCCGAGCGTTCATTGGCTGCTGACCAGTGTCATTTCTGATTTCGAATTTCTATTGGCTGGATTACCAGCCACTCACAAATAAGTCCTGCCCTCTCTGAGCGTCACATCCAATCACTGTTGAGCACCAAAAAAGGCTTCATGGAAATCTACTGCTTGCTCTTATTAGGTTGTAAAGACAAACATTTACAATGTTAAATTACCGTCATATAAATAAATAAAAAAAATAATAAAGCACAATTAAATAGCTTTAATTTTATACAGGCTGCACTTTATGATTTATTTTTATGCAAAGTTTTTATGAAGCCAAATAAAAATGGGATAATTAATTAAATAGGTCAAAATGAAACAGTTAAAACAAAAATGTAGGAGAAAACCGATCAGGATCAGCAGAAAATACATTTTGAATAAATGTTTTTATAGATCCTCCATTGGCTCACAGGCTCATCTTGTATCTAAATTTAGACCAACTGGCAGGTTTCTAGAACAATCTGGAACCTGAATCTGCAAAGCTTGCATCTTACAATAACTAACCACTTCCACAGCTTTGTGCWCTTTTTTCTGTTAAAAATACAAACATGGGGAGGACAACACACAGTTCTCAACAAAGTGACTCTTTATTATGTCAGAGTTTATAATCTGAAAGCAGGCCTACACTGACCCACAACAGAGAATTACTGACACCAAGAGTTTTAATCCCGAATTTAAATTCATCCAGGCATTTGTTTTCCCACAGAATATATAGTTTTTGTAATTTAAACTTTTCAATAATTACAGCTATATATTTAAAAAGTAACGTAAGACTACAAATATTAGAATGACATGACAATTTATTGTTCTTACTATAATTTAAGATAGTATTTGTACTATAATTTTATTTAAAGTGCTTTTAAATCATAATGTAACAACAAAAAGTACATCCTGTGACAGCAACAGCTCGAGAAGTAATACAGTATATTTCACAGTGTTTTTAAATCAGTCAGTTTATAAGCATGACATGGTAAATATGCACATTTAGTACAAACGTATTTTGGCAATGGAGAGTTTGCTGCAGGAGTGAGTTTGAGCCATGCAAAGACCACGCTACAGAACGCTGTTTAAAAGATTAAAGAGCAAAGTTTAGCTGACATGGAAGACTTCAGGCTGACTCACCGTGAACAAGAGCGCTCCCCCTTATTAAACCTTTGATTCACCAGAGTAAAAATGCAACACCTGATTGTTAGTCGGAGGGTTTCATGCAGTAGAAAGTCGTCTAATTCATGTTCCTTCCTGAGGTTAAGGAGCACGCAGACGGAAGACTGAAGAAGCTGTGAGAGGAAAGAAATCAGATTAGGACAATCTGTAAAACACTATGAAAAGCAAGTGTTTGGAATTAAATGTCAGTTAAAGTGATCCCCGATTAGTTGTAACATTAGACTTTATTTGATAAACATTTATTTTAACTTTAAAATAAAGACTGTAAAAATACTGTAGGCTGTTTAGTTTTGAAAATTTTTAAAAATATATTTTAACACGGATGGAGCCATTTTATTTACACGCAAAGCATTCTGGGTAAATGATGACGTGGATAGGTCATCGGTGTGAGCGAGCTATATCCACCCTGAAGGTTAATCTTGGACAATATCTGATGATCGACTCTTTTAAATGAAACCAGAGAGCGTTGACAGAGAGGAGAAGGTAGAAATGACTCAGCCTGTTACTGAAAATATGGATGGAGGACAACAGAGCTGCTTCATGGAAGAAGAACCTCAGCTTAGCCTGTTAGCTTTAGCGTTAGCTCCGATGCTATATTGCCTTATATGTATTAGCTCAGCGCTAGCACAACAAACAAGCTAAACTGAGGTCCTCCATCCATATTTTTAGTTACAGACTGAGTCATTTCTACCTTCTCCTCTCTGTCAACGCTCTCTGGTTTCATTTAAGAGTCGATCATCAGATATTGTCCAAGATTAAACTTCAGGGTGGAWATAGCTCGCTAGCAGCCTCGCACTGATGACCTAGTTGATGTCATCATGTACCCAGAATGTTTTGCATGTAAATAAAATGGCCCCATCTGTGTAATATATTTTTTAACTTTTGGTTTAAAAATGATAAAAACTAAACAGCCTACAGTATTTTAACAATCTTTATTTTACAGTTAAAATAAACATTATCAAATAAAGTCTAATGTTACAACTAATCGTGGACCCCTTTAAAGTGTTTTGTTACTGTCTGTTCAGTGCAACTTAGTGTTTGACAAAAGTTTRGTTAGAACTGATAACAAATCTGTACTGCACCACAGCCACCCTGAATACACGGCAGCGGTGGGATTTGAACCCACGCACCCGAAGAGACAGGAGACTAAATCCAGTCCCGTAGACCAGAAATAATATGTCCCTACAACACGTTGCACAAAGCTAAATATAAGAAGTTTACTGAGGTTGCAAACAAAAGCAACTTTTTACCAGGAATCTGCACTCAATGTGTCTTGTGTAATAGCACTTCAGCTCGCTAGATTGAGTTTATTTTTTGTTTGCTTCACATTTTTTTGTATTCAGATTTATTAAACAACTGTTACACATGCATTTGAGCAAGAAATATGTTAAGGTACTACACTGTATGTTGGTTTAATAAACCTATATAAACAGAAACATGTTTTAAATGGCATTTTTGTTATTTGAGTAACTGTGCAGCGCTATGTGGCTCTCTGGAAGTGTCAACAAAAATTTGGTGCCCCTTCATCCTTWAAGTTGCCTGTCCCCGAGTTAGGTTAATATTTAGTTATTAATTATATTAATTATTCATTAATAAAGCATTATAAGACTGATTCTGTTTCCTTTCTGAGAGCAGACTGGTTTTTGTGGATGTTTTTATCCCCAAGTCAACAACAAAGGAAATAAAACAAATATATGTATAGTTTATAACTTCTCTAAGCATCTGTAAACTTTATATATATGTTTTAGGTTGTTTATGAAGTCAAGCTGGTAACTTCAGGTTTTAATTGTTCATTTTGTTCATCGATCATTCAGAGAGATGCTTATTTATGGAGGTAATCATTAAAAATATATTCAAGGTCAAATCCAACAAAACAGCTTCTATATATATTCTGTTTGTTCATGGCTCTACATTTACCAACAAGTCTTTTTTTTTTTTCTTTTTTTTTTTTCCCAAAAATTTTTTTTTTTTTTTTTTTTTTTTTTTGATGGCCTCCCTTCTCCCCCTTTAGCCATCCTTTCCAC